GGCTAAAAAAGGAACTATTATTAGCGTTTGGTCGCTGATTAAACAGCATTAATACAGCTAAGTATGAGACGTGAAATGTAGCAGATAATACAGTTATATACACACCGTGATCGAAACACTTGGCCTTGTAAAAATGAATTGAAGTGACGATTTTTTTTTGTTTTGAGCTCTTTATATTCTTTTATCTTTAAAGCAGCCGATATAATCATCAAATGTGTGTTTGCAATTGGTTTTTATAATTATATTAAAAATATTTTTTCTATTTCCTTATATTTTTGCAGCACATTTAGCATATTGTTTAAGAAGATTATTTTGATGAGCAATATAGAACTTTCGGTCCTCCCACCATCCGAATGATCTTTCGTATAGTGCTGCTCTCGATTACGGATAGTCTCCATTCGGCCAAGTACTCGATCGCGCTCATCCATCAATCAGATAACTTAAACTTTTTATAACAACGGAATCACCCACTTTTGTCAATAGAATTTTAATCCTGCCGTCCGAAAATAGAATTCAAAGAGTTCCGCGACTATGATTATGAACATTATTACAAAATGTGGATCGTCGGTTTAACGCAGATATGTGCGACGAGCAGTACACAACGGATGAGACAGGTGAGTATTAAGCGATTAAATAAGACGATAAAAGTGAAAGAATAATAAAATCTAAGGATTAACACTGTTGACATTTAATATGTGTATGAAGCGTCTTCTCTCTCTCTCTCTCTCTCTCTCTCTCTCTCTCTATATATATATATATATATATATATATAATCGAATTTTAGAAAATTTGTATTTGACATCTATATGTGCACATCTATCTATTTAGATATGGATTATATTTTATTCTTATATGAAACTTAATATTGCTATTGATGAATTAGAATAAAAAGTATTATCTTATTTATATAGAGATTAAAATTACAGCGTACATATTTATCATATATATTAATTAAATATATACTATTTTAAATAGATAGGTATATAATTTTGTCCTCTAATTACTCTCATTATTATGCAACTTCAATTGACATTTAATATATAAAGGCTCTTTTACTTTTTAAACGTGTTATCGAATTTTGAGAATTTATACACTAGAGAGAGAGAAAAAGGTATTCAATTTAGTTATGGGATATATGTTTACTTTATAGAAATGTATATTTTTCATCGCAATCAAATTTTTTATAATCAATAAATATCGAAGAAAATATCACATATAACATTTAAAAATATTTCGACTTTTTTCTCAGTATATGTATATAATAACTTATTGATATATCAATAATTTATGATATAAGTTTAATTGTTTTGATGTTTTTTGTCAAATTAACGATATATTTATTGCATTAATACTATTTAAAACATTAACAGAAAATATTTTAATTGTCCATTGTAAAAATTTAATGTTGTATGTATCTATATGAAAATTAATAAAAGTATATACATTTATATAAAAATGAATTAAATTAAAGTAATAATGATATCTTTGTTTGTCTACAATTTCCGATGCACATAGTGCATCGGATGCATTGTATTTTTTACAAGAAAAATATTTAAAGAGTGGAAAGTAAACAAGTATATTTAAAAATTATTAAATGCAACTATTGAGTATCACAACAACGATTAATGGAAAATTCAAGAAACGTAAAAAAGTATTTGATAGCGTATCGGTGTCAATCTTAAAACGTTATCATCGAGATGAAATGGTCAATATGCTATCAATTATACTTTTCAATAATTACGATCTCATGTGTATATCTCATGTAATGTAATTCGATTGCCACTGCATTACAATTACTACTTTGTATAATATTTTTTGATCGAGGTTAATGACTGCTGTTGGACAAATGTTTAATTTATATGAAAAAAGTAATAGTATAATTTATGAAAGAATATATCGATTTTATAACTGGCAATAAGGAAACGAATGGTATTTTTAAATATCAAGCATTATTTAAGCAAGTCACAAGTTTACCTTTTAATAAACTTTGCACCATTGACAAGAATTTTTTTCTTTAATCTTTTTAGTAAAACAATTTAAATTGAATTTTGTTACTTTTAATAAAAATTTATCAATTTTGAGAGGATAATTCATTAGTTAGTTTTTTTTACAAGTTATACATAAAGTAAATTTTTATTTTTCTTATAATATCAATATGATATAATTAATAATATTAATTAGACTGTAACAGTACTAACAAACTAGCTTTCTAATAACATAATGTGATTAAGCTAAATTCCACGAAATATCAATTGCGTTCAATTTTTTAAAAATTCAGTTGTTAGAATTTATTACTCGTTTATTTGAGTTGATCGGTAAATAATGTGAGAGACACGTGATTAATACTTCATATTTCTTCCCGACAAACTGTTTTACACATTAATTGTTAACTAATTACCGCATGTGCGTTAGTATCGGCATATTTTAACCGCAGCCGTGACCGACACGACGTGTGCAGTAAATGGAAGATAATAACAGTTGTTAAGTGGTCGTTAACAGCCATAAAAGTATTCGAGTTAAAATGCTGTCGTAAAACGTCATTCAACTAATCATTTCAACCTATTTACATTAAAGTGCGTCATTATGTTTCAAAGTTACAGGCTCTGCGTGTGATTCACAATTATTAATTTCAATGAAACAAAACAGTTACCAAATAAGACCTCTTTATCTAAGGATAATACAGGCATATAAGCTCAAGATTACGATTTTGTTATATTCGTGTCATCGTAAGCGGAAACTTGTTAAATTATAAATTACATTCTAAATGAAACTATACCAAATACAATCACCCAAAAATCGGGTTATTAGTCACGTTATGAAAAAATCATCGTTGCAACTATAAAACGAAATAAATCTTCAAAAATTTAAATAGACGTTTCAATTTTTTAATGAAAGTATTCAATTATTAATTTGTCTCTTGAAAGAGCGTACATTTATATCTCTCCACACCTGTCGCTTTTAGATTTTCATTATTTTATTTCTCAAGTATGAAATTATTTTATTAAATGATATTTTGAAAAAAATTACCTCCTCAAACAAAAAGTAACATAACAAAACTGTTTTAAATATTTCGACATTCTGCTAATTATAACTTATACATTTTATTTTCGTTTTAGTTACACATACAAAGAAGTAACTACCGAACTTGAGAAAAAAATAAGGCGATAAACTGATCGTCATTCGTACCGTTTTGCGAATAAAGGAAATATTCGTGCACATAACGCGTTCGCAAATTTATCTCGTCAATTAGAGGCGATCATCGATACTGGCGTGATGTGTGATAGTTAACGTCACTGAAGGTTCACGATACCCGTTGTTCTTTGATCGCGCGGGTGGAAGACAAAAAGAAACTCAGTGTTGGAATTTTCGGACGGAGTGAAGAGATATAGGGATGGATCCGTTAAAACGTTAATCCTCCTAACTTTTTGAGAAAACGAACGTGTTCATCTTTTAATATATATATATTTTTGTTAACACTTCAGGCTAAATTCGACAGATGAGAGCTCTCTCTCTGCTCGAAACTTGATATTACTCTGTTCAAAAGAAGTCTGTTCGCAATAAATGCGAATTTTCTCGCACCAGTATGAATAAGCAATGTCCACATCGACATTATTAGCAAACAGAAGTGGACATGTCAAGACTGTTGCAATCGAAACATTCCTCGTGCCTTATAAATCATATGTATGGACATGCAATAACGCAATAACAGGATCAAGACGAATCGAACGCATGTGTCTTCCGATCGGTCGACTACTGTCGCAGTTTTTCATTTTATTATGTCACGCGATAGTGTTTTATATGCCAATTCTTGACGTTGCGAATTGATATGAAATATCATGTGACTCTCGCCTTACCACATAATTTATTGACTTTTAATTCAATTTTTAGTTAAGACGTCGACACTATCACCTTCATTTAATTTAATTCATTTTTATTATGAAACAACTGACTCCCGGTCTCTCTTGCAATAAATTACACGAGCTCTTTCATATTATAATCTCATGACTTTCCGCAGATTCTGAAATACTTCGTATCGTCCCGAGCTTACGCGCACTTATGCAAATTTCTATGCGCTTGAACCGGTGACGAGTCATGCGACCAGACGAGAGGCGTGAACTTGAGAGAGACACGCGCGACGTTGTTTCACGCCGTAAATTATCCTTGTCAATGCAAAAATCGATCGCTATTACGATCCACGTGGATCACTATTGCTATCCAGCGATCCAACAGGTCGGTGGGATATATGGTGTTCACCAGTGGAGACCGAACGTATTGTGCAATTGACATTGTCGAGGGAAGGGTTTTGGTAGCTTGACGTACGAAGGTGCGTCATATCGAGCGGTTAAATTGCTAACTGTTTTTAGTTGACAACTGGAGACCTAATCAGTTAGATAGTCTCAGGAAATTTTAACAGAGCGGTCTCTCTTTTAAAGAGAATAACAAAATATTATTGTCTTTTTTTATATCTATACATATTAAAATCCTTGACGTTTTAACTCGTACATCAATTAAAATGTACTCATATATAATAGTTTATATTAACATATTTATAAAAATTAAATTACTATAGCATTGTATTATATATATATTAAATTTTGCGAAAGTGTCCTTCACTTCTAGATTACTGTATCGTTACATATATTATATATTGTAAGATCTTTTGGTCGTAGAGTTCTTCGGGCACCTAACAGCGAGACATCGCGACGCGATGCCTAGATCGTCAAGAAGACTTCTGATGAATCGGAGATATCAAACTGCAATGATAACATCACCCTCGTGAGAGCTCGTCACAATCGATACGACGACAATCGCTGCTTAAGAAGCAGTAAAAGGGAGCCGCTCTTTGCGGGGAAGAGTTAGTGCGCTTGTGGCGAGCGAGCCAAAAAGCTCACTCCGTCGACCGTTCATCCTTCATCACTGGGAAATCATGTCAAGAATGCGTATCCGCGGCGTATCCGCCGTTTCAACGGGAACCTCTTAATTATCTGACGCAAGAATTATCATCCCTTGAGAATTATCCCTCTCGTTTTGGTCCACGCCAGCATTTCGCCAATAGTGTCCGAGAATGTCCAAGAAGCAATGGCTCGCCCTGCTGTTGTTGTTCCTCACATATCTAACACTGGGCGCTACCATCTTCTACTTCATCGAGAGCTGTAATGAGGACAGGAAGATCGAAGAGGAGACAAAAGAACGCACGACGATCTACAGTAAGAAAATAATAAAAATAATCACCCCCAGTATCGGCTATTTCACGCGAAATCGCACAGTCCACTAATCAGTTCTCGTTAACTCATAATTTCTAGACACTTGATGGAATTACTTTGACACACTATTCTGATATTTGATAGGGAAATAGAACTCGACATTCTAAATTTACTGACCGCTTATAATTTTATGGTCGATATTTTCTTTATCAAAGGAATGTTTTAATATCTGATGATTAAGAATGAAGGATTTTTCGAGAATCGTATCAATAATACAGATTCTTTTTATTTAAATGTAACAGGTTTTATTGGATTGATTATTGATAATTTGATAATTTATAATAAACAGAAATATTTAATATTCAAAGTTTCAAAGATACTAGCGGTATCTTTTGCTAAAGAAAGATCTAGATTGTCGGAAATTATTTTGCATGAAGTTTATATGTTTAGACATTTATTTTAATTTTTTTTCGTGATTACTAACAGATATAAAAATAGCAAGACAGTCCTGATTTCTGGAAGCCGTTTTAATTGATGAGTTTCGTCGAACTGTCAAGGAGAAAGCTACATGCGAGCAGAATAATGCAAACGCGAACGGAGTTGCATTTGTAATTCGTAGTTGCAACGCGACATTGAGTTATCTGCATATCTTTGTTTGTTATAACCGCAACACACTGAGAAGTCCTCGAGATATTGAAATTTATTTTATAAATAAAAACATTAGTAAAAAAAAAATCAATAACAGTTGTGCCTTTATAATGTTGCAATTTAATGATAATAAATAGTATTTTCGCTTATATCGGATGCATTTTAGTTCACTCGTTTAAAAGCCAATGTTCGTAGAATCTCATTGTTGATATCAATTCATATCTTTAATAATATTTTTTATTTCGATAAATGCGGAAAGGTATACTCGATTTCGTTATCACGAAGATTAAAGTGTAACGTATCTAAATATTAAATTAATTATATAGGGAAGTATCTTAGCGACAAAGACGTCGCCATCGTGTCCGTCTCACGTGCTCGTAATTATCGTAGTAATAATTAGTAATAGTTATTACCGTCGCTCGCGACGTGCTTTAAGATTTCGATGATAATAATGCAAATGATGCGCTTAGGTCACGGTCGTGCAGAAGACGAGTCCGGCGTGTAAAACGTTTAAAACTTCCGATATGCATTTAATGACGATATCATTATACTTCTAGCATCTTAAAACGCTTGTGTCATTGACTGAGATTGCACCGACATGCCTGTCGCGCTTTTTAAATTATTAAATCAATTATATATATATACATATATATATATATATATATATAACACACACACACAAAGAATTCAGTTTAATTTCCGTAAAACTTATATATTTATTAGAGACACCTTGAAGATCTCAAGAAGTATTTCACATTTTATAATTAAATTTTCTAATCAGTACAAGTTTTTGAATCCTTTATCTCCTTCGAATGCGATTTAAACTCTTATTATTGATAGTCGATTCTTACATGTAAGACTTCTTATATTTAAGACTCTTAAGTATAATCTTAGAATGAACCAATCAGACAACTATATTAACATAAGACATTAACATCTTAAAGCGGGACTATGAATATTAGCATTTAGACACTTCTTATAAGCTTTGAGCTTAAAATTGAGCTTCTCGAAACGCTGAATTTGCATGAGCAACTTGAAATACGTCGAACCTTTTGTAACAAAATAGCCTTGTAAATAACCGGAAAATCGACACAGCTATTTGTCATTGGGTTTTCTATGCATGACCGTGCCCGATGCAATTGTTTGCGCGAGAAAAGGGCATTATTCGAATAGTCAATATCCAATAGGACAATGCCGTGCAACAGAAAGAATTTATAGTCGACGGCCAGTGTCAGTGTCGCCGAAATCGATTACGAAATCATTATCTCGACCACTCCTGTCAAAATCGTCGTGTTCGAATCAAAAGCGGCGATATCCGCTATCGTGTCTATTATCTTCTACCTCAGGTGGCTATAAAGCTCCATGATGAAGAATAAATTAAGTGGATAATTACGAGATTATTTCATTAATTTTTTACTCTACATGGATATTTTCGTCGTCCTGATATTTTCTTAGCCTCGATACGCAGCGAAATACAGAGTCGCGTCCCGGTTGCAATTATATGTGCACGGAAGGTCCAGGTCCAGGCTGGGTCTGCTTGCACAAACCAGCAATATAAGACGACAAATATTGGCTGATAAGATAAAGCGTATAGCACAATTGTCTCAAAAACCTATTCGAGAAGGATGGCAAAAGAGAGGGATTATATAGTGGACAAATATGCGAGATAAAATTTAAGATTATCCGCTGATGAATCCGCTTTTCAAAGCATGTATAATTATTCCTTTCAGAGTTACTTCACAAATACTATGTACCCAGTGCCAGCCACAATGAGACTGAGATTCTGCAAAAGCTCACCGATTACTGCGGCAAGTCCGTCTACAATTATAGCGTCACCACCCGACGATGGGATTACTACAATAGCTTTTATTTCGCTTACACGGTGGTCAGCACTATCGGTAGATATCTAACATGTTCAAATAGCGTAAATCTTTAAACCGTATCTCTAAATCAAATCAGTTTTTATCTAAAGTCAATGGATTATAGCCTTGCGTCATTTTTTCTGTACCCCTTTAATTGTACGCGATTACAATATCTTTTATTACGTATTTGTTTCGAGTACACAGAGAGATCTAACAGACGTTCCGAAAAAGTAATTTGAAACATTATGATGTCTTATAAACGGTCAGCGAATAAGTATTCATCTTTGAGACTAAACTTTGATTTCTCTAAATTGAGATAATTGTATAATGATTTGCTATTATATAACTTTGTTGTACATAATTTTTTAAATATATTTCTTAAAAATTAATAACTTTTAAATTATATCTATTAATAATTTTTCTTTGAAGAAGTATATCTCTCTATATTAATAGCCTCCTTTGTTCTATCATTAATCTTCATTCTCTTTCTGAAAGAATAATTGATTTATTATTATAAATTATGCAGGATATGGCAATTTGGCACCCACGAACACTCTCAGTCGCATCTTGATGATCTTCTACGGCCTCATAGGCATTCCAATGAACGGAATCCTACTGACGCAGTTGGGTGAATTTTTCAGCGGCGTATTCATCAGAGCTTATCAGAAATACAAATCCTACAAACAACGTCAATCATGCACTGATCATCCCTCCAAAAAGTCGATACCGTCCGAAACGCGTAAGATAATGAGACTGGCCGCTCAGATCTTTCTATACTTGACGCCCGGCTTCATCGTATTCATCTTTTTCCCGGCAATTCTGTTCTCGCATTACGAGAGATGGACCTATGATGAATCGGTTTATTACGCTTTCGTCACTCTCACGACCATCGGTTTCGGCGATCTTGTGGCAGGTAAGCGTTCTATCTTATCGATTCCTCAGACACGCGCGTGTGATTATAACTTATTTTTTTTATCGTTAGCAAGAGCAAGATTTTGTTTTCGTAATAATTGTGAGCGCAAGTCGAGGAATCGCATACTCTCAGAAATAGCTTTTTTTTATTTTATGAATGATATAAAATATATATAATTGATATCAGTTTCGTATCATCCATAATTCAAAATCTAATAAAAATATTGCGATAAAATTGATATTGATTATAGTAACTAAAGGAATTTTATTTACATGATATCTATTATAAGAATTGTTCATATATGAATAATTTGCACATTGTTGTGTTATTATATGCGATCGATAATTGTGCTGCGAACAAAATGGTATTTCTGATAATTTATTATAAATTATAAAAAGATATGTACAACAATAGGATGAAGAAATATATAAATTAAAATTATTGTAGAAAATTGAAAAATAAATCATAGATTAAAAATATTCTATTTTATACCTGTGTATGATATAGAATACTATAAGTTTTACGAGCTTAAATTTTAAGGAATAATAAATTGCGATATTTACTCTATTTTTGATAATGAGTAAATACGAATTTGTAACATTATACGAAGTAATAATACAAAATTCAGAGTTAATGACATTTTGTTATTTGATTAGATAATATCGAGTCACTTGAGACTATATATACATATATTCGATGAATTTCGGTAGCTTTCTTGATTAATAATAGTGAAATGGTGTTCACTTGTACTCTTATCATATACATTAATCGCTTTGAAGTATATAATCTATGAGCTTGTCTGTTCCGCCTAATTAAAAGATGAATATTTTCAATTATTACATGCTCACATGGGAAGCAGATTTTAACACGTAAGTAATATTTTCCATACGCCATAAATAAAAAAATTGAGTAGTGCGTTTGCATATAAAATCGCATAGCTAATGAAAAATGCAGGGAATGGAAGTCGTTACTTGTAACGAAGTTACAGTTACAAGTTACTTTTTTGGTAACGTTACTGGTAACTGCGTTACTTTCTTTTTTTGGTAACTGTAACGGTAACGAGTTACATTTTTTGGGTAACGGTAACGAAATTTACAGTTACTTTTGTCGTTACTTTGCACACGATTGAACACGGTTCGATTGGATACATGTTATTTATAGCGCTTATCAATAAGACTTGAAACCCTTAGACATTCGGTCATTATGATTCAGTAATTATTTTACACTTTTATTTTCTATGTAATACATAGGACATACAAATATTTCAGTTTGCTGCATATTTTACAGGTTTTAGAATTACAAAATTGTGTTTAAAAAAAATTAAAAAATAAATTAAATAATAGTAAAATGAGAAGG